GGCATCTGAGTGCCCCCTTTATAAAAGGGGGTACCCAGATGAAGATGAGCCCCCCTGCCCACAGACTCTCACAACCACTAGGTCAGGGTTGTGGGGAAGAAACCCTTGTGCTCATCGGCATAGGGACAAGGTGCTGTTCCAGGGGGTCCTGGGGATGGAAGTTTTCTCAAAGAAGCAGAAGTTGTTACAGAATAACACATATCTCTCAGCTTCTTTCATTATTTACAGTTTGTAACAATATTGTGTTACTTTGTCTACACAAGATACAAATGCAAAGAAGCCAGAGAGCAGTAAATGACAGCTCTCCCGCTTGTGTTTCGTTTCCGAATGAAATCCGGATGTATTCGAATTTCGTTATCAAACATTCGGGTTCCTTCAGATTCTTTATTTCTGTCATTCGGAAATTCAGATGTATTCGAATGTCTAAATTTACAGAAATTTGTACGAATTTAAATTCAGAACGAAACAAATTGCACATGTCTAATAATAATAATGAACTGATCTCTTTCATCTTTGCAGCAACCAAATGATAGTTAGTTCCTGGAAATCCCCAACCTCTTTACAGTAAAAAAACAAATAAATGGAACCATGATAAATAAAAGAATTAATAGCCATTTCTCAGGATACACATAAGATATTCCTTAAAATATAGACTTGGCTGGGTATGGCTATCCTTGGCTTAATTTTATGCAGCTCCATTCTACCCGTGTCCCTCTGTTATCCATATAACTCTGTCAGGCCGACCACCCTGCAAGAGGTGGGACAATAAACCCCCTCCTTTTTTTCCTACTCTTTGCTTTTCTCTGCCTTCTCTTCCTTCCCACGCCCCCATCTACCTTTTTACTTTCTCTTTCTAATATACATTCTCTCATCTTTTTGCAAATAGCAGAAGGCATTGAATGCACATACACTGAATGCATGTTAGATCCTAGAATATTGTATTTATATATACAAACCTTCCACCACTTTCGAACATAAACCTATCAATTATACTTTTCAACCTACCCATTTTAGCTATATTAAATGTATTTCTGTGCTGTACAACATTTTCTGGTTTATTGTAATCTTATTTAACTGTGCTACATTGACACATTTTACTACTTCTTCATATGTTTAATTGTTGAATTACTTTTTTGTGTCAATAGTTTTTAGAATGGAGTTGAAAACATGAAAACATTGCAGTGTCATGTGATGCAGAATTATATCATAACTTACAACTTTCTGAAATGTAAAAGAAGGGCACTGTATCATGTACATATATTCAGGCTAAAGAGACATCCTTGCCCATCTGCGATTTTGCAGACCATAACATGTTCATGAGCAAGACACAAGATACCTAAAATAGTGAACCCCAACAAAGAAAGAATGCTATAAAATAACACTTGAACACTTTGGGGTCCATTTAGAAACAATTCTCAGGGCCTTTTGGTCTGCAAATATCTGTGAATGTTTACTCTGTGCAGATATATGCCAAAATGAACATTCTTTAGTTTTTTTTCTTTACAAGTGTAATGCATTTTCAAATGTTTTCATGTGATATTGCATTATGTCCACTAGATGAAGCAAAAGGAGTATAGGAAATAAATATTTAATAAAGCAGCATATACTATAGGAATTAGGAGACTAGGCTGTGTAATAAAAAATATTTTAAAAAAGGTGAGACTTCTTCTTTAAGAAAAAGAAGGGCATTAAGGCTCCTGCAAACTAAGTGGTGGTATGTACAGGTATAAGTTACAAAGGGTCTGGTATGACTTGAGGAGAACCCCACGCTTTTTTTGTTTTTTACATCAGGGATGCCACCTAACACATTTACCAGAACTGAAGAGTCTGGTATGATTTGGGGAGGGAACTACATGCTTTTTATTTGTTTGTTTACACCTGTTCTGGTGACAATTGTCGAGTGGATCTTCCCTCACTTTGGATAGATTTCTACTCACTTCCTTTTGCATCTGGGCCAAGAAGTCAAGGAAAATCTTCACAATGGCATATAGACAGTTTTATGGATGGGAGTTTGTATCCACTAAGAACAGGGCAGACTAGGAATTTAATAGCTGAAAATGGTACTGAGTGAAAGCGCAGAAAGAACACCAGGTAGGTGCTGCGTACACTGGGAACTAAGAAAGAACAGTACATACAGTATGTATTGAGTAGAGGTGAGAGCCCTAAGAAGGGCCAAGACTCAGACTCTAAAGAACTGGCTGTTACTCACCAGAGCACCCTGCAAGGACAGTTCCCAGGTTGTGGCCCTCTGACTCATACAAACAGGCAGCTATTGAGCTGAAAGCACCAAAACTCAGAAGAAAAGAGTCTCTGGAAGCACTGGAGAGTAGGAGTTACATGAGGGCAGGAGTGCAAGATTCTATGAGAGCACTGATGTGCTAGGATCACAGGGTGGCAAGTGTGCAAGAGTCTCTGGGGCACTGGGACCACCGGGAGGCAGGAGTGCAAGAGTGTCTCGGAGCACTGAGGTTCTGGGACCACAGGGCAGCAAAATGCAATAGTCTCTGGGAGCAGATGTCATGGAAAGACAAAAGTTCAATAGTCTCTGGAAGTACTGTGGTGCTGGGGTCAGAGCGAGGCAGGAGTGCCAGGAGAGCTCACTGAAAGTATACAGCGCCCACAGGTGCAGGATTACTGGAAACTCCCTTGGAGTACACAGGATTCTCAGGACAAGTACACAAGGACACCCAGAATAATACACAAGGATTCACAGGAGGAATACACAAGGAATTTCAGAATTATACAAGGATTTACAGGTACAAGACACAATCACTGGGGACACAGCAAATTCAACAGCTAGCATTGTGATGTATTGCTCAAATGCTAAACAACACATGCACTAGCCCTCTAAAGTGTACTTCCACTTTTGCAGCCAAATTGGGAGAACGCCTATTTTATATCTGTTACATGCTCTCATTCCCTGATTAGCTGCACGTCGACGGGCAAAGACATGGCGTCCAAACAAGACGCAGATGAGTTTGTCAGACAACAAAAATAAGTAAACTTGGGAGAGGTCCTAACTATTTTCCACTCTATCCAAACAGAAGAAAGTATTTGCTACAGATACATTTTAATTGTTTATCTAAACACATATTAGTATCAGAGCCTTAAAGCCTTCAGAAATGATTTTGACTAGAGAAGGATGTACACAGAATGTTTAGGTCACTACTGGGCCACACAGAAAGAATTATTTATATCGTCAGGCAAAACTGTCTCTCCTCTCTTCCTGATTTACAAGGTATTCTTTTACTGTTCTTGCCAAATAAATCAGTTGCACTTCAGAAAGCAATGCATCTCATCAACACCAAGTAACATCCTTCCAAACAAGCATTTGGAATAATATTCAGCAAAGTCACAAAGTTCTTGTGCTTCAAAAGAAACATAGGTTACTCCCACACAACACTTTTCTAGAAAAGCTGCCAATTTCTATATGATGTAGGATGGAGGGGGCAGAGGTTGGGAACACAGCTGCAGCATATGCTCATCTGGGTCTCTTGGAGGGAGGTTATCAAAACTCTTGTATATTATACTATTAACTGGCACTTCTGTGCCCACGTGGACAACAACGTAACCTTTTAGTAATCCCTCTTCACATACAACTCAAACTAAATTACCTTTTTATACACATTGAATTTTAAAACTATTTTAGCGAGACAATTTTCATTCTTTACCTTAAAGGCCTTGTTCACAATGGATCACAAATCCTAAAATTGGCAGTGATGCTTTTTGAAAGACTCTTATTTCATTTGGCTTGAATGAAATTGAAATTCAGATGCACACCAAAATGCAAAAGGTGTCAGTGGGAGCTACTAAAATTGGTGGGATCTATCTCAAGTCATAGCTCTGTAGCTATCCCTAGATATCCAATAGAAAAAAAAATAGTTCCAGACAATTAGGAAGGAAGAGATTATCTCATTGTATTCAAAAATACTGTGCAAAATTTGATTTTACCTTCAAATGTCTGATTTCCACTCTGGGTTTTCAAAGTTGCTATCTAGGGTTTCCTAGAGAGTTGTCATAAGAGGGAACAATAAGGAACTTACAATAACCTTTGTGCCACAGGTAACCTCTGTTTACAAGCGACATCACCTGTGTGTAATCTGTTGTACAAAGTTTTACTATTCAGTCTTTGTTTCATAAATTGTACAGTGATATCTAAATCATATTACCATCATGTTTCTTAATTCATAAAACCTTTTGTTATTGGTATTGTCGTATCAGCCATTATTGTAATTTCATACTAAATATATCAGTCTTTCTTAACCAGGATTCCATGGCTCCCTAGGTTTTCTCCAGAGGTTTCTAGGGATCCCCAGAGCAGTAAGTAGTGGCGGATTGATCTCCTGCCCAATTGTCCAGCATAGTTCAGAGCCAGCGTCAATCAGCAAAACCACTCGTACCAATAGAGCCTCTCCTTTCGTCTCTGAGGTATGATCTTTTAAGCTGCATGTAAGGGTAAAATTCTTCCCACTTACACAATATGTAAAAGGGAAGAGCTGTGGATAAGATAACCCTTATCTTACAAGCCACCAACTTGTTGTATAAAACAAAGAAGTGTTAAAGTGTTTTTCCACTCTAGGAAAAACACTTTAACAAAAAACACCCTAAGTATGCCACATTCTTTATTGTTTTATTTATTGCTATATCTACAATTTACTAATCACACTAATGTACCGTAAGTGGTATCAACATGGTTGTGGGTGCACTCTCTCTAGCCCTCATGAATGCTGTGCTGGAAGTGCTGATCCTGAGTTTTTACATAGGATTAACACTTTAGACATAGCGCATAAAACCTAAAATGACCCTTCTATGCAATGAGCAAGCTATTTTTTTCTTCTTTTTAACTGCATATTGCCAAATAATAACTTTAATGAAATGTCAGGTGAACCGAAAGTGGCAGTGCTTGACTTTGCTTTAGCCAAATAAATAGCTCCCCACATAAAACAAATACATATAACATATTATAGAGGTTTAAGAATGTAAAGCAAAATATCCAATACCTGAAATGAATTCAAGAAGATAAAAACATAGGCCCAGACTACACTGAGATGTACCAAAATACCACATAACCAGGTCAGTCCTAAGACAGGGAGCAGAACAATGATGGGTTTTGCAGTGGCCCTGAAAAAAATAATGCAGGGAAATATTTTCAGTTTTATGGTTTATTTTATGAGAAACCTTAAATAAATGTTCCACTTGCATTTAGGAAATATAGGACTGCTCTCCAGATGGACTTATATCAGGCAACAAGAGTTGTCGAGTTGTCCTCTTTGAACATGCGGTAGGCAGTAAGCTGTCAACTAACAAAAAAAGTTCCCAGTCTATAGCAGAACTTGGAAATGCATGTTTTTGTAGCAGTTTTCTAAGCCAGAAAAATATTGTATAACAAACTATCCTTAACCATTTTCAGCAAAAAAAATCCTTTCCATGGCATTTATAATTGTATAGGATTCAAAGTCTGGGTCGCCAATAACCAGTGTTACAAGGGGGGGATGAGTTAAGAGCGCCAAATGGCAGAACATGGAGTGCACCACATTAGGCATCAGGGTAACAGTGGGTTGTATCAGCAGTGCTGGTGGCTTGGGGAAGGAAAACCATGGTAGGCCAGACAAAGGATAGGGAGAATCCTCCTCTTCCATGACTACCCACTTCTTTGTGGTTTGGTGACAACACAAATCAACCACTCTGCATAGCATAGGCGCTCTATAGTACCGTGTTATGTCTGGCAAACCAATGCCTTCAAAACACTTAGGAAGCATAACAAGTCTTTTACGAATTCAATTGGGTTTCTGTGCCCACAGAAAGTTGGTAAATAGCCTTCGTTAAGAAGGAAGCCGGTAATTTAACTGGAAGAGCTTGCATGAGGCAGAGAAATCAGGGCAATACTGTCATTTTGATCCTTGGTTTTTTTTTAAAAATCAATAGTGAAACATGTACTATGTCAGAGTTTGATTTTCCTGGTTAATTTTGACTTTTGTCAGTATACTTGAGATATGGAAACGTACCAGACCGTGATGCCAATCTGTTTCTCCAGACTACAGTTGGGTGTCATCATCTTGGAGCGTCTTCTAGCACTAGAGATTGTCACCATAACCACACGAAACAGAACAAAAGTGTTGACCTTTATAAGTGAGAAACATTAAGATATTTTAGATGTAGCCCATGCTTTTTTACACCCATCAAGTACAGATTAATAAAAAAATGTTCAATATTTTGTATTTCTTGGTCCCATTTATCCTACTAATAGCCTGTAATCTCTCTCTCCTTTCTCTTTCTCTCATGTACTCTAGTACTTTTTTTCAAAGACATTTCTATTTAAATAAAAAATAGACTAATAGCTAATTAAATTCCCTGCGTATTATGAATGCAAACACTACACTCCCTATTAGCAAAGATGGCTGGAAGAGTCCAAGTTCTGTAAATCTGTGCTACCTTGATCACCTTATCACATTTAGGTTACCTGACTAAAGGCAGAATTAATTTGAAACCACTGAGGAAAACAACAGTAGAATATTTGATTAAGTATTTAATAACATATATTGAAAGTTTTTAACTTGAGCTTTCTTTTGGGAAACAGTTACATTGATGGGTTTAGTTCTACCTTAACTAAAATATCAACAGATCTTAATATCTACCAAAATCCTGTTCCAGCACTCCACCAACATATCTTCATTTAAGGAATAGATCTATGCCCAGGATGTAGTTGCGTTTTACAGCAATTCTTTTATAGCATATTTAGCTTTGATTACCATGCTCTACAAAAACACCAATATAATATGATAAGAGTGTAAATCTGAAATCTTTAAAAATGACTGAATTTCCAGGGTAAAAAACTGTAACACCTGTGATATTAGGTTCAAAAACTTCCAGCCGTACCATCACTAAAAATTACATTTCCACCTATCAGACTCATTGTATAGCAGCACTGTGGACAATACAAGTAAAATATCACATGACAAAGATCAGAATAGCCTTTATGGAAAACATCTTGCATATATGCTTTCCAACAGCATGGACTATAAATTTTCTGAGCTGAGGAGCAGAATGTAGCAACAACGGCTACAACCTATTGATTAAGTGAGCAAGACTTGATACAGGAATGTATCAAGAAGGAATGGGAGTTTAGGAGGATATAGCGACAGCCAGTGCTGTCAGACTCATCTGCCTTACCAACTGCTCAGTGGCCGGCACCACTCTCTGCTAATCCCTCCACTGGCTTCCAACAGCACAACGCAAAAAATTCTAAATACTAACAACAACATGCAAAGCCATATACAACTCTGCCCCTGGTTACATCTCCAAACTCATCTCAAAGTATCACCCAAACCGTCCTCTCCACTCCTCTCAAAACCTCCTACTCTTTAGCGCCCTCATCACCTCCAGGACTTCTCCAGAGTCTCTCCTATCCTCTGGAACTCCCTACCACAACCTATCGGGCTTTTTCCAGCATTGTCTGCCTTTAGGCAATCCCTCAAAACTCCTAACTTCAGGGAAGCCTATCCCACCTCCTCTTAAAAACTGTACATCTACTCCTTCATTCAGTTCACCCTTCACAGTCATTTTTATATTTGTTACATGTTCCCATTCACATCGCATAAACTGAAAAATAATAATAAAATCTATTTGTTTAAATTGCTTTTACTTGGGTTAGGGTTTTAGGGGTCAATATTTCGTCTTGCTTCTATGTCTTTCAAACGTTAGAAGGGGCTGTGAGAGGTGAGGGTGTAAGGTGGCTTGCTCATTGTATGTTAATGTTTTTGTAAAATGGCGCTTTAGTTTCCCACTTAGCTTCAGCCAGATATTGAGATAGCATGTTCAGTAGTAGTATCCCAATAGTTTAGGAGGGTCGGGATAAATAGTGGTGCAGTTCAAGTAAAACAATAACCTTGAAAAAAATAAAAAAAATAAAGCCCTAAGTTTTATAAACTTTTTTTTTTAAACGTCTTCTGGCCATGAAAAGGTTCCATCGTGATGTCTGCCCAAAATGGAGGCTGTCGGTGGCTTTATAGTATAGACAGTTATACAGGCAGAAAACGTTTAATTTGTTACAGAGGTAATCGTTACATGAAATCACTAGAATGACCCGTAGAACATAAAATGGAACTTAAGCTAAAGCTGAACTCCAGGAAATCAGCTAATTACATGAAAGTAATACATATATTGAAGCTGTTTTTCCCCTCAAAGAATTTATATTTCTGTTCATACAGCCCTGAACTCTGCAGACAAGGCAGAACGCCTGATTTTAATTTGGTGCACTTAAATTACACTAACAGGTCTTGTTTCTTCACTAGTCTGTGACTAGACAATAAAAAGAGAAGCGGCAGAATGATAACCTCATCTCTCTTTCACTCTGCTCTATCCTCTTATCAGCATGTTCCTTGTTAGCATATGAACAACATACTACTAACGACTAACCAACTAGCTGGCTCATGCTGCTTCTACCTCCCCCAGTCTGGATCCTGCTATAAAGTGGATTTCAGGATGCTAATACCAGGATAAAGTAGGTATTTACACTACCTGTACTTAAAGGACATTTCCACCTTTGCGGCTGCATGCTGCTTCTCCAAAGGTGGAAACAGCACATTTCCACCTTTGTAAGTGATTTGTGATTTTTGTGGTAATGTAGAGGTTCGGGGGCGATGTATGTGTGTGTGCTTTGTCAGGAGTCACAGGGCTGTTTTTCATACTTTATTTTATAGACTCTTTCACAGGCCAGAGTCCTAGAAATTCAAAATTCGTCTTGTGCACTTGTTGTATCTGTAGACCTTCTCTGTGTCACTGTGTTCTGCGTGTCTCTCTCATATCTCTCCAGGACCAGATGTACTCTCTGCTGCCCCAAGTTCAGGTTCCTCAATGTGCCCCCCCCGCCACCATTCTTGTCATTTACCGATGACTGTTAGAACAGATAAATTAAAAAGACACTTTGGGGGGAAATTATCAGAACTGGAGCAAACAGAATCTGGAGCAGTTGCCCATGGCAACCAATGAGCATCTATCTTTGGTTTGCTCAGGTAAGATTTGAAAAAGAGAGTGAGATGCTGATTGGCTGCAGTACTACTCTGCTCCAGTTTTGATAGATCCCCCCCAGTGTGCAGTGTCCCAGAAGATGTGCTGGGTCACTAGAGATGTGCAGGGTCACCAAGGATGTGGGGTGTCACTGGAGATGTGCGGGGTCACCGGAAATGTGTGCAGCGTGTCACTAGGGCTGTGCGCGGTGTATTGGTGCACCCCTAATTGAAGGTTTTTGTCTGGGGCACGGATGCGGATTGTAGTTTCATTCTTATATTTGGATTGCTTGAGTGGGAGGATTGTTGTTAGCGATTGCTAAAGAAATCTGTTATATTTTGTTCTGATCGATTACTGGTGACAAAATATAACGGATTTCTTTAGCAATCACAAAAATCCTCCAAGTCACAGGTACAAAAAAAAAATCTCCCGGGCACTCTGCACTGCCCAGGGGGAGGTACCACTATGAATATTAAAAATGCTTGTGCACAAGAGAAGCAAAGCTTTTTGGGAAAAGTTTTTCCACATGCTACACTGTAGCTTCCACTGTACAAAGCAGTCTGGCAGCCATTTAAAAAAAACGTGAAGACTGAGAGGACAACTAAAAAAAGTAAGTTTTGGGGTTGATTTACTAACCTTATAAACACGCCACGAACAAGTATACACCTCTGTAGTGTGCTCCCTCCCAGCATGATCTATTGGTGGAATCTAGACACCTTTGTAGTGTGTACACACCCAGCAGGTGTGTTGTGCAAAGCCCTCCATGAATTGCTAGGTGATGTTGTGTAAATTAGCTCTACATTGTGTTGCTTGCGTTGATGAATGCAGGAATGTAAATGCATGAGCTAACCATTTTTGTCTAAACTGTGAAGCAGCATTATATATGCATCATGTGCATGATTTTTCCATCTATGGCATTAGTGGAAATATGCTTTTAGAGACTTTTTGGTTGATAAATACGTTTTGCTGTGTAAAAATCACACGCACCTAGTGCGTGCGTGTGTTTAGGTTAGTAAATCACCCCCTATGTGTTTATATCCAGGATCTGCATATGCCGCCATTATCTACACACCATGTATATTGCTGGCATATGTTTTGTTTTTTTTAAATGCCTCCGCAAAGGTGGAAATGTCCTTTAAAAAATATATTTAATGATGCATTAATGATTACAGAGCAGCATTAACCACTTGAAGACTGAGGTGTTAAACCCCCTTCCCATCCAGGCCATTTTTCAGCATTCAGCGCTGCAGTAATTTGACTGACATTTATTCCGTCATGCAACGCTGCACTGAAATTAATTTTATATAATTTTTTTGGGACAGACAGAGCTTTCTTTTGTTGGTATTTGATCACCACTGGGGTTTTTATTTTTAGCCATATAAAGAAAATTTTTTAAAAAATTTGGAAAAAATAAACAGTTTTTCCTACTTTATGTTACAAAACATTTATTATTAGCCAATTTTTTTGGTAAAATATGAAAGACGGGGTCACGTTGGGTAAATAGATACCAAACATGTCAAGCCTTAAAATTGCGTACACCTGCAAAGTTACAAAAAACGATCATACCCAAAATTGTCCATAGGCGACGCTTTAAAAGCTTTTACGACTCATCAGTTTAGTGTTATCAGCGATTGATGGCCCTAGAATGATTGCTTACACTCCTATGTTTGATATGTACGGTGATAGGTAACATGTGCGGCGCAAGCATGTAAACACATTTTTATGTGCGTTTATGTGAGGGCGGGGGACTTAAAGAAAATGTTTTTTTAAATATTCTATATGTGATTAATTTTGTTTTTAACTTTTTTAGGGGGCAACCTGTTAGTTGAAAGATAACAGCAAACAAAATAAAGCCATACGCCCCCCTACACCCACCTACACCCACCTTAAGTGCAGGTCCGTACGGGTGCGTGTGTCCCGGCTCGAACGCAGACAGGATCCATCCTGTCAGCGTACGAGTTCGCTCACCCGCAAGGACGTGCAGGGCGGGTGAGCATAGGGTGGTGTACGGCCGCGTAGTCCCATAGAGAAGGACAGGGGCTGCGTACTAATCACACACAGCACCTGTCCTTCCCGGGAGCTGCCCAATACGGCCGTGCACACAGCACGGAGCTG